ATAATATTATATTTATATTGATGTAAATGACATTGCCCTTAAGTTAAGGAGTGAATGTTCCCCCTTCTTTTACACCTCTTGACCTTTGACCTTTGACCCCCAGCTTCGACAGCCCAACTCGTTTTGACGATCCCCCCCAATGTGCCGAATATCGTGACCGTACGTCGAGCGGTTAAGATTTGTGCACAACTGTTGACGGTCGGACGGACGGACGGACGGACGACCGGACGGACGGACGATCATGCGATTCTACAAGCTGCATCTGACTATGTCAGATGAGCTAATGATGGCAAATATTCACGAACTGTATTTACTACCAAAGTCTTGATGTTTCTCTACTCTATTTCACCTATTATTGCCGATAATTTCCTGTAAATAGTTTAAAGCTCCTCTGCAACACACAAGTACACTGCACGGGCACACGCACTCTGCTGTGCGCAAACAAGAATATATAGTCTCTATTCTCTCTGGAGTCTCTTAGTCTATACTCTAGATATATATATATAGTCTCAATAATTTTGTTGTTGAATGTTTGTCACCTTGTCACTTGTGCACAGTGTTGTACGTGCGTGCGGTATACTTCATTGTGTTGCAGAGGAGCATTTGAACAGTAAACAGGAAGTTATCGACAATAAAAGGCGAAAGAGAGTAGAGAAACAGTAAGACATTAGTAATAGTATATTAGTAGTACTACTACTAGTATATACATTTCGTGTTTATTTGCCATCATTTTATTATATTATTGGAACGTTCCAAGTGCATGTGGACAACAAAGTTGACATTGTTCAAATTGTTGAGTGCAGACAGTAGGCCTAGAGAGTGTTGAGTGTTGTTGTTGATTTGACATGAGCTAGGTTAGCCACAACTAAGTTCCCTTCTCGCTTAACACTACGTTGGCGAGAGGCGTTGCGTTGGCGAGTCCTATCACGTGTAACAGTCAGAGAGCCTGGTCGGTTTAGGGCTATATATGATAATATTTATATTGTAACTACTAACTGGGGTACTAATGTATACACTAATTAATGCTGATAGGGTCTATGTCCCCCGGGGTACTGCCGGAACGTACCCTGGGTACGGTCCGGTATACCGGAACGTACCCTGGTACTATATTATGTGCCGGACCGTACCTATAGCCTCCTCCACTAACGAGTCTAGGGACTCGCCTACGCATACTCCCTAACCCTAACCCGAACCCTAACCCTAATCCTAACCCTAACCCTAATCCTAACCCTAACCCTAATCCTAACCCTAACCCTAATCCTAACCCTAACCATATCAAATAGTGACCAGGGTACGTTCTGGTATACCGGACCGTACCCAGGGTACGTTCCGGCAGTACCCAATTGGGGAACATAGACCCTATAAGTATAAGCCTAATAATATTTAGATACAATAATGTAACCCAAACCCAAGAGGATAGGGGTCCTCTTGGGTTTGGGTTACATTATTGACATTCACATTGTATCTAAATAATATTAATAATTATACAGTAAGTCAGTAGGCTTGTTTGTTGTTGGTAGTACTAGTAGGTAGTTGTTGTTGGTAGTTTTTGGTTGTAGGCTAGTTGTTTGTTACTAGTACTTGTAGTTGTAACTAAAGTATAGTATAATTAGGAAAAAAATATACGTGAGCAGCAAACATACAATTTTACATTCATCAGTTTACATACCGTCAATACAAACCGACGTTCAATAATCACTACTGACGCTTGAACAGAAAATATTTCACATCAATTCATGCTTCTCACTAATTCAGGATAGATGGGTTCCTCCTCTTCGTCGCAATAGTAAAACGACAAGGAAACCTTTTCGGTGTCGTCTTGAATCAGTGACTAATCAGCGTACGCCTAGTGATCATGTGACATAAAATGGCGATGTCCATCCAAACATGTGGCAAGGGCCAAACATACTGACATAGGTAGACTTTCACACTGTCACTAGTACTGCTACTACGAAGCAGCACCATATTATGCATATATATATATATATATAAATTGTGTAAAAAGTTGAATTTGTAACGATTGTAAACTTCTAAAGAACGCTTGTACTGTGCAGGCTACGTACAATTTGGACTTCTTCTGACTGTCCTGACTCCTGCCAGTCCTGGTACTGGTAGTGCCTATACGAGTGGTACTGACTACTGTCCTGAGTACTGGGTAGTGGTACAGTCAGGTACAGCCCTAGACCGAATAATTCTGTCTCATATTACCTTTTTTATATTTTGGTGAGGGTTATTGGACCCTCCCCCCCCCCAATAATAACCCTCACCAAAATATAAAAAAGGTTATATGGAACAGAATTATTCGGTCTAGTACAGCCCTAGCTCCAAGAAACGGTATTGCTAGGGTTAGAATACGTGTAGAATAGGTGTATTGACGTTAGTCACACAGCCTGGTCGGGTTAGTACAGCCCTAGCGGCCCAAGGATAGAGAACATGGGGCCCAATAAAACCAATGTGCCTAAACCTAACCCTAACCCTAATTCTAACCCTAACCCTTACCCTAACCCTAACCATAACCCTGACCTATTATATTGATATAATATTATATTTATATTGATGTAAATGACATTGGTTTTATTGGGACCCATGTTCTCTATCCTTGAACCGCCCTAGCTCTACGGTCTAGTACTATAGCCCTAGCAGGCACTTTTATTGAACGCTTAATGGTAAAATATTGGAAAATATACACGAAATGTATTTACTACCAAAGTTCTCTACGTGGTTCTCTACTGTAGTGCCCCTAGGGTAGAGTCGACTACGGTTTGACAGACGTTAGTTCGTAACGCGTGTCCAGTAGTGGGATTCAGAGTCCGCTCCTGTCGATGTATTAGGCAGGACGGCGATGAACACGTAGCAGATAACAGGTAGTACCAGATGAACAGAACACGGTGAGATTCGGTTAACGATACGGGGATATAGCTTTTATTGCGTGTTACTAATGTACAAATGATTCCCCTGCATTCGTATATGCAGCGGACCTTTTATTGATCCCGTCTAATATCTACGCGTCGCCGGCTCCGTCTGCTTCCCTCACGTTCGTCCTTGCCTTGCGTGGATCCACACAGTCTCCCAGGTATCTCCCCCGCCGTCGCTCCTAGCTCTACCAGAATGCCGTTCTTCGCCCGTTTTATTCCCCTCTCCCGTTCGGCTCTGGTTTACACCTACCTGAAAAACCTGTGCGTCTATCCTCTCGCTACAACGCTGCCGTTCGCTCTCTCTCTGTTCCTTCCTCCCTCTCCTTCTTCTTCCCGCCTTCCTACCTATAACCTATCCCTGAAAAATAACTCTCCCTCTTTTCCGTCGTCCTCGGCTGCTTCCTCTCCTTCTTCCTCTTCCTCTTCCCGTTCTTCCTGGACCTGTACCTAACTGCCTCTTCCTCTTTCTCCTCGTTCTCGGCTGCTTCTTCTCCTTCTTCTTCCTCTTCTTCCTAGACCTGAAAATAACTGCCTGAGCTGCGATTCTGTGCTCCTTATATACCCAGCCGGCCCGCCGATGGCGCAATCGCTGTGCCTGGCCGTACCGTGGTGACTCACCCCGATGTCACAACCCGAGGCTGGCACGGCCTGTTGCACCATCGTATGCAACTCGCTTCTGAGAAAATATTCCTTGTTTTCGGCCGACAGGCCGCAGCACCAACAGTAAAAGATGGCCGCGCCCAGGTGCCAATGTTTACATGCGGTCTATATCTATGTGCAATCTATCTTATCCTCTCTTTAGTCAATATACATGGTTACTCTCCCTATACGGTGAGTTCAGTCTATCCATCCCGATCTAGTCTACTACTCCTGTAAGTTATACACCCCCGAAATCTCCACACTACGTCACACTCTAATTAATTCTATACTATATAGCTATAACACGCAACTTGTTCGGTTCAAGGAATCAGATATAGAGATGATGTCCAGGACGGTGATTGGATAGGATCAGGGAACAATTTCAAATGTGCTATACAAAATAAATTTTGCATAGCAATTGGATAAATTTGTATAGCATTTTTTTTCAGACAATCACAGTGCAAATTTACACCGCAGTGCATGCTTGGCGTGTTATCGTGTCGGCCTGTGACAGGCACAGCTAGCTTAAGCCTAGGACACACTAGCGATTCTGTC